ATGCCTAAGAATTAAATCTGAGGAAATCTGAGGAAATGTGAAAAAACAGCATTACTTCTAAAATAATGCCCCGATTATGCCGATTTTCGAACTCAACCTGCGTTTTAGTAAGACTGACCATTCCTGTGAGTTTAATGACAATTGGGCTTTCTGTTTTTCTTATATTGTGTTTACAGTGTTGCATATATGCTGAACAATGAAAAAACCGCATAACTACTAAAATAGTGGCCCGATCATGCTGATTTTCGAACTTGACCTGCGTTTTAGTAAGATTGATTACTCCTGTGAGTTTTATGACAACAGGCCTAACGGTTTTCCTTAAAATGTGTTAACAAGGTTGCATATATGCTGAAAAGTGAAAAAACAGCATAACTTCTACAATAATGGCCCGATCATGCTGATTTTCGAACTTGACCTGCGTTTTATGAATATTCATCAGCTCTGTAAATATAAAGGCAAAAAGTGAAACTGCCTTCCACTTATCGTGTTTACAAGGAAAGTGCACGGCGCCAGCGCCGGCATCGGCATCGGCGACGACAGACGCAGGTGATGGCAATATGTACAGACACATCTGTGTCTGTACATAAAAAAAGATATATAAAATATATTCTGTTTTACCACAAAAATGGCAGTTATAGTTATTATTCTGATATCTGAGCTTGTCATTGGCACACCATTAACTATTCTTATAGTCCTCCAAATGAAGCCAAGTATCTCTTTTTAATTTTTATTTGAACTATTTAATTTATACATATAGGTCACAATATCTGTGTATGGCAAAATAAATAAATAAATACATAAAAAATAATAAAAATAATAAAATGAGGTGCAAAGAAAACGGCATCAATATGGAGTTATTTCTAATGTCATATTCAACTGAACTCTGCAATTGTTCATTCTCAAGCTTAAGGCTAGATTGCGCACATTAAGTCAATCCCCAAGATTTTCTTCTAGATGCCTTAGTACGAATATTTCATATTTCTGGCATGGTAAGGTAATCCTTCTCTACATTGTTCATCAGCCTTTTTCTGTAAAATATAAGAGAGAAAATCAAATACAAAGAGTCAGCAGAATTATGCCAATGTACTGAGTTATTTGATTACATTATGCTCTTAAAAGACCAAAGGCTTACATTTCAAAAAACACTTTCAATTTCACAGTATATTATTACAGAAATTCATTCCTCTTATTGAAAATATTAATAATATCACTTTTAGTAACACATTCAGTCTATTTTAAGTTCACTTAGAACACTTTTTATATACAGACACTGTAAGTGTCTATATATTCTGTCTGTGTTGTCACCGTTGCTGTCGCTGCCCAACACATGACGTTTGGCCCATAACTACCAAACCATATTTTTGTTTTACTTTAAATTTACCGAGTTCCTTTGTGTGGTAAAGAGGCCAGGTTGCATTCAAAAATCTGAATGATCAGTTTATATTTACAGTAATTATTGTTTTTTTTTCATAATTTTAGCGATGTTCACCCCATAACTTCCAAATCATATTTTTGTTTTTCATTAAATTTACTGAGTGGATTTGTTTGGCAAAGAATCAGGTTGCTTTCAAAAATTGGTATAATTGGTTTACATTTCCGACAGTTTTTTTTTCCCACAATTTAGGTGACATTTGCCCCATACTGCCAAACCTTATTTTTGTTTTACATTAAATTTACTGAGTGCTTTGTTTGGTAAAGAGGCAGATTGCTTTCGAAAATCCGTATGATTGGTTTACATCTACTGTAATTATTGTTTTTTCTGATTTTTTTTTTCACACATTAGCATTTTCAGTGGCTTTTATAGCCCATGAAACTGAATTACTTGGTAGTTTTTCAATTGCCATGTTACCTGTAGTATATAATGTAAGAATGTAAGAGTGATTAAGCTGTTTTAAAGCAAAAGGACAAAACATGATTTGGCTCACTCTTTTCTGCATCTGAATTTGTCAGCTTTGCTGCCTTGTTTCCTGTATGGTGTCTGTATATTTGTCAGCTTTGTTGTCTAGTTGTACTTTGTAATACTTACAATTGATATGGTATACCAATATGTTAATCCAACCAATGGTATGATGTTCCAAATCAGAAAATATGGGAAAAAGGACCTTCGAGAATTATAAAACCTGTCGAAACGGTTTAAACTTGCTCTTTGTTGCATGTATCTTTCCCAAGCAGGATTATACTGAAAATAATATAAATAAAACCGTTAATGATGGAGACTCAAAGCTACTAGTTTGTCTCTCATTTTCTGATGTCAATCTTTTATAATTATCAAAGGGCACTTTAATTTTTACTACAGCAGTGATTGGGAAGGTTCAAACCACCCATGGGACAATGGCCCCTCCTGGGTCACCCTTAATGGGCCATTTTGCATATCAATGGGCCATCGCTTGACATTTATGGGCCAAATATATTTGAAATATCTGTATCAATATTTTTGGGAATAATATGATAAGGTTTTGCAGTTAAACTTTGTTAATATATTTATTTAGTTAAGACTTTTATTTGTCTTTTTCAATAAAACCATCACAATGCCTTCTTTACTGAACTTATTTGAAGACTAAATGAAAAAACAAAATGATCAGAAAACATGTAATACTCATTAGTAATTGGTTTTTATTTGATGAAACCATCAACAAGAGGTAAACAATCTAGATCTCTGAAAACCTTGATTCATCAAAACTGAGAAAATGTAAATGAAATCGTCTTCACATACTGTCTAGTACTTATTAATCAGTCTTACTGAAAAGAGATTTCATTACTTAATGAAGTAATCTCTTTTTCCTGTGCCACACATTCAGTGCATCCTCATAACTTATCTTACTCTCAAGAATCTTAACTCTTACACTGTTCGCAGTCGTACTGGAGCCAGGGCCATAGTTGAAGCCATCGGGGTTGGAAACCTTGTGCGACCTGAGAGTGAGAGGTGCTAGCACTAGCAGTAACACTACTGTCAGTGTCACTACTACTCGTCGTAGTGCAAGGAGCGCTGCTCTCAGAAGTTGGTACATTTTCTTCCCCCGTCTCCTTTGAGTTTTCTTCCTGAACATTGGACGGACCCTTAGACGAAGCGGTTGAAGTAAATAAACTAACTAATGTAGGCTGGTCTGGCGAGATTTTAAAAATCTTTTTCAGCGGCATTTTTCTTTTCACTTCACCAAAGTGCTGCTTGAAAAAATCCCATGTGCTTTCAGAACGAAAAGCAAGGTTACTTCTAATTGGATAAACATGACCTATAAACTGATTGGCCAATAAGATATCAGCTTTTATTTCATTAGCATATCTATTGGGACGATGTGCTCATTGCTCTCGGCAAACTTTGGCGATTGCGTTCGATAGCTTCCAAATTCGTTTCTGAGACATCTTCAGGTATGAGAGGAAAATTACGCTAATCAGTTGACGAATAGTTTATTGACGAGTAGACTCTTTTTTAAAACACGAGGTATAACAAAATCACGCACCCTTATGGCGCACAAACAGGGCTTTTTATGCGCCCAGTTACGATTCTATGCGCGTATGGCGCAATGGCGCGTTCCTTCCCAATCACTGCTGACACATATGAAGAATATGAACAAATTGTTCACGGCAAAAATAATGTAAAAACTAAAGCCAGTAAAGCCAACAGATTTTCTCATGAAAACTGAAGTTAGAGAGCAGGAGCGGATCCAGGATTATTTGAAGGGGGGGGGTCCGTGGATTCAAAGCCGCCCCCCCCCCCTCCAAGCGTGGGGTTCGGGGGCCACTGAAGGCCCCGAAAATTTTGGTATTTTAGAGGCATAACGGTGCCATTTGGTATGGTTTAGAACTATGATTCAGCTAGTCAAAATTCTTTCTTATTTCAAGAAGAGACTATTGGTGTGATTTTTTTTCAGAAATCGAATTGGGGTGGACCCCCCTGAATACTGACAACCCCCAAAACCCGCCACTGGAGAGTACATACCAAGGAAGTGTTAGAAGGTCCGAACGGATTTGTCTTTTTCATCATGAATTCTGCTTTTCTTTCTGCTCGCATTTCTGTTCTTTTTTGTCGGGCTTGAATTTCCTGCGGGGAAATGTTGTAGCTCGTTCGGGCATCCCAGCCATTTTGGTCGGCCATTTTTAATAGTAAACGAAAACGAGATTTGTCTATACAAGACAACCCCAACCGTAGAATTGTGTATTTGTCACAGCACAGCGGATTGTCTCCGGTGTATTTTTTTAAAATTTTAATTAACAAGTGTATTCAAATATTTTTTAATAAATTTTAGAAAACATAAATTCATTTAATTGGAATGAGTGCATAAGTTTTTCTACGTTGAGGGCGCCTGAGAGTGCCATCAATGGCCGCCGCTAGACAGAGTTGGACAAGATGTAAGTGGTGAAGTTTATATAATATCAAGGGATCCTCTTACAGGATATCTTTATTCACTTAAAAAGGATTATTATGATATATGTTTGTTATCAGTTAAACCTAGAGTATTATTATGATTAACTGGGCGTGGTACGAGCAGCAGCAGCTGCGACCATTTAAGCTATGCAACGCCAGCGTCCCATCTGACCCCTGTGACTGGCCGTTGGTTTGACACTTCAAAGCCAATTCGTAAGTCCAAATCTAGTACGGTTGTGCTGTTAACTACCCAAGCATTGATTTAAGATATTTTGTTGGCTGCAACTATATATCGGTATAGTTTAAAATAGCTAGAAATGCGGAGGTTAATAGTTATCTATTATATCAATCTAATCCCACGGGAATAAACCGAAATAGCCTAAGATCNGCCATGGCTCAACTCGTTGTGAATGCGATCTAAGTCTTGCAGCTTAGTGTTGAAAAAAATGAAGGAGAGTGGGGTGAGAAATAACAGCAGGGACAAAGAATAAAGGCTAACAAAATTTATTTCTGGTGGCTTTCTCATTAACACAAAATTTTGTGTGTTAGCAGATTTGTGTCAATTCATGAAAGATAGAGGTGCCTTTAACTTAAAATAACAGCCAGTTAACATAACCACCCTGGGAGCTCTAGAAACTTATTGCTCACCTCTCACTTCCACAACTCCCACATATCCGAAAAGCCAGTCAGTCTTGCAATCAACAGCACTATGAGTAAGGTTAGATTCATCTGTTCATCTGCTAGTTAGGCTGCCATGAAATTAAAAAAACAGCTGTAGACCCCCACTGACTGATCATGAATTCTGAGAGCAAAAAGGCTGGGAATGGTTAGAGCTAATGGCACCTCTATCTTTCAGGTGTTAGCACATGTTGAATAGTACATATCAGGGACCATAAACTGGAGTGCTTTCTCATGGTTATAGTCTATTGCATAATAATATAATTTCACCATCTTTTACATAACACTTATGAATTGCTTTCTAAAATGATACCCTTGGTGCATAGTGTTTCATTCTCAGTGCATAGAGCCCCACTGGACATGGATTCTTGCACATTTTTTGTCTCATATGATGTCATAATTTGACCCTATTAGCACTAGCAGACTGTTATAAGTTGTAATTATAGATCAAAGGTGCATATGTGAAATACTGGAAATTTCGGCATGTGGCATGCATGATCTCAAACTTATTGACAGTTCACATGGAAGAGGTTGCCTCTTATTTCAGTCTCTTTGTAGTGTCAGTCTTTGCAACATGTAGAAGGAATGCCATAGTAATCCACAATGTTTACAGCTATGGATTTTTTTTTTTAGTAATGAATAAGTAGGAACTGTGGGACTGTATTTTTTGTAACAAAGAACAAAGTTTAGATGTTCTGTGTCTTCACTGTTGATGAGTAAGGATGTTTCATAGTGATTCACTCTAAAATGAACAATGTTTCATAAATGACCATTTTTCATTTATTAATGCAATTAGTTTTATGTTTATGTGCAGTTGGCTGAGGATGGTTTATAATATGAATATAGGTCCCTCATAAATACTGTTGCATATCAGTTTTATTTTTTCTTCAGATGTTCCTGGTATTATAGAATCTGGAAATTATACACAATTGTCAACCAAAATATTTGCGAAGCTGTCCTAAGATGGCTGGAAGGGGGAAGGCTGGAAGAGGACCAGGTTCTATTGCTTATCAGTATGAATTTTGGGGTGAGAGTTTTAACTTCTGCCAGAGCTTGAGGTTATGATTATATAGTTATGCTTTTAGTTTCATATTTATAGAAATGTTGAAAAATTTATGTTTGTAGTGGTAAATGTAGAAATTTGAAAGAAAGAAAAAAAATAATGAATAAAGTACTGATGTAGTTTATTTTGTCTAAGGTGAAGGCTCTTTTAGATACTTTTCACGAAGAGGATTTTGGCATGTTTTTTGAAAAGCCAAGTCATGTTAGTCATTATAACGGTACTTGACTGTGTAGTTAACAAACTCTAAAGTTTAAGATTATTTAATGCATTTCAGGGAATTTTTCATGGGAAGAGTACTTGAAAGAGACAGGAGATACACCTGCCCCACATTCATGTTTCAAACAGGTCCTCACCTAAGATAATCTTATGATTGATAGCATAATGAAAGTGAAATGTTTAGAATAATAGGTGCTGTTAAATAAAGATATGTTCTTTCATCTTTGTACAAGTATTCACTCCTGAAATATATCAGCACTAAGCTTTTATGAGAAATTGTAAAAAAAAAAAAATCAGTGCAGTGTGCATTTTACAAATTACAGAAAAAATTTAACTTAACATTAAGATATCACTTATAATGTGTGGTTTCAGTCACCCATTCCTCCTAAAAATGAGTTCAAGTTGAATATGAAATTGGAAGCAAACGATCCAAGGAACCTTACATCCACATGCATTGCAACTGTAGTTGGAATACAAGGACCTCGACTGAGGTTGAGATTAGACGGAAGTGATAATAAGAATGACTTTTGGCGCCTTGTGGACTCCAGTGACCTGCATCCTGTTGGCTTCTGTGAAAAAAATGGTGGTCTTCTACAGCCCCCTTTAGGTAGCTAATTATATACAGTCGAGTTGATGCCCTGAAGGCAATAAAGTCATTTTCTGTTTGATTTTAAAATGCAGTGGGTATTTTCAGTAAAAACAAAATTTATTATTTGCTTGAAGTTAATTTAGATTTACTTCAATTAAACATGTGCAAAAATTTGAAATGTAAATGCTAAATATTGCAAGGTAAATTACATTTAATTACAAATTTTGAGTTATGTCTACATACCTAATGGAAACTTCCTACATTAAAGATAGAAGGACTTGGATGTATTAACATCCACAAACAAGTGGTAACTTTTTCCCAAAATATAAATGTCATTTTTGGAGAGCCAATATTGTATCAAGGGTGGGGAGGGGGGGGGGTCAAAGTTTAGGGTTTTTTGGCTGCTTCAAGATATCCATGTCCTTTTACTGTTGATAAATGCATGCACTTTGGTAGCTTTTTTCCATCACAACTAGGTAGTATAACTGTTTCCTTTGATAACTTAAAGAAATTGTTTTCTGTGGTTTTTGAGAATATTTATCAGTTTTGCAGTGTAATATTGACAATATTGTGCTAATAAATACATTTCAATAAAAGCAAACAATGAGGTAAGTAAATAAAAAGAACATTTACACCTGTTATCATAATCAACAATAATAGTTGTTCTGAAAATCATTCAGAGTTGTCACAAAAAATGAGAAGAACAGATAAGGTGTTTTAAATGGAATTTTGATGATGGTATTGATAACATTTAAAACAATGAAATTTTGATGATGGTATTGATAACATTTAAAACAATGACAACTCTTCATGTGAAAATCGAAATTTGTGATTTCATTCAAATTCGATAAACTACAAAATATACACTCCCTTAATTATCAGCATTGACCAATCACCACAAAATTTTCTGATTTTATTCACAGACCCAGCAGGTACTTGGAAATTTGCTGATCAGACAATTTAAGGGCTGACTTGACCTAGTGCCTTCTTACAATATCTGCTAAAGAAACACTTTGCACATCATTTTCATAGTTCTTTTTTTTTTTTTTTTTTGAAGGGGGGGATCTGTTCTTTTGAGTTCAGATGTGATTTTTTTTTTCTTTTCTTAGTTTTTGTAGAGGGTACTGGATCCTGTTCCACCATTATCTTTATCATGCTCTGTTGTCTTTGTCTTTCCACTGTTTTAAAAAGAGGTCATCCATCATCTCGCTGGATATTGACAGTCATGCTCACTTTTTGTAGTAATCCCTTAAGTGATTTTTATAAAATTCATACTTTTATATATATATATATATATATTTTAAAAATCAGCAAACTTTGAATGTTGGAACTTAATTATTGTACCACCAGCGTAGGCTCTGGCGTACCCATGGTTTTAGGCCCGCCCACGTTCCGCGGGCTCTTGTGGCTCCGCCACCAAGTCACCGTTACCGCTTCTCCTCCTAGACTACAAGTACCTGCATACCGATCTCTTGGATTTAGGTCACATATAATCTCAACTCAATCCATGTAAATTGGTCTTTGTCAGTCCTGGGGTCTAGGTGTGGCACTTGTTGCAATGCACCCTTGTCCAAAATTTGCAAAATTAAATGCTCAATATCTACCAAACCAAAGAAATTATGGGAAAAATTCCTACAGATGGCTGACCAAACGTCATATGTGGAGATTTCAAATATGCCCTACGATTTGACCTTTGACCTTTATTCAAGGTCAAATTGGCCAAAATTTTCTAAAATTGAAGAATTTTTTGCAAAAAAAAAAAAAAATATATATATATATATATATATATATATATATATATATATATATATATATATATATATATATATATATATATATCTTTGACCTACTTTTTACCATGAACTGAACTTTGTAACTTTTCTATCCTTTATATCTCCAAAACTGGCAATCTAACTGTGACCTTGATATTGACCTTTGACCTTCTTTTCACTATGGGCAGCACTTCTCAAATTTTTACGCATAATTTTGTTTAAATGGTAATTTTCATCAAAGATATTGAGAACTTTTGTTTACAACACTGGAGGTGGTTTCCCTTTTTTTTTTTTTTCATACCAATGCGTTTACTCCAGCTGGTGGTACAATACCTGGAGGTGGTATTGCCTCTCTGATTCTCTAGTTAACCATTGGTATACAGGAAAATTTATTTTATGGTATGTTTCCTGCTGAAGTGAAGAGTTGTCATATCTTTAAGAATTCAGATTCATTTTTCAGTCAGTTTTTAAATTGTTCTTTATGATAGATTCTGAATGATAAGGTTTGAACATGCAAAAAGTTGCAAATTGAAGATTGCATAAAGAAATATATCCCCTCTTTAATGCAAGGCAACAAATTGTGATTTGAAAATAAATGTTCAGGCGTAATTCTACCTTAGCTTGTGTGATAATTTTAAAGTTTTTGCACTTTTGGTAGTTATTAGATGCATGCTTGTTGTGGGATTTCTGGTTGGTATGCTACCCAATTTTTTAGGTTTCCGTATGAATGCTAGCTCCTGGCCTTCCTTCCTGATCAAATGCTTGGATGGAGCCATCATTACCCCTCCAGACCTGCTAAAACCCGTAAGTTTTCAGCCAAAATGTCAAACTGAACATATGTTTATAAAAACTTTGTTCCTGGCTTAAGTAGGTAAATGGTTAAAATAACTTTATCAACTTATTTATTATTTGTATGTACAGACACAGATGTGTCTGTACATATTGCCATCACCTGCGTCTGTCATCGCCGTCGTTGCCGATCCTGGCGCCGTGCACTTTCAGTGTAAACACGATACGTGGAAGACAGTTTTACTTTTTGGCTTTATATTTACAAAGCTGATGAATATTCATGAAATGCAGGTCAAGTTCGAAAATCAGCATGATCGGGCCATTATTGTAGAAGTTATGCTGTTTTTTCACTTGGCATGTTAACAGTCTTATTATTTAACTAATAAGACACATAAAAGTGTTTGTTTGACTTTTCCTGCATCTTTACAACATTGTTAGTTGATTTTGTAAAAATGATGGTAAACTTGTTATTGTGTATTGTGTAATTAAGTGTCAGAAATGGAAANGAAGTTCCACAGGCTTGAAGACCCATGCTAGTCACATTTTCTGAAAATCCATAATACGTACATTTTATAATTAAAAATTGATTGTCATTATGCTGTTAAACATTATGCTTGTTACACATTTTACTTACATTGGTATTACCTGTTGAGCATTATTAAAATTTGATGTTGAATTTGCAGTTTAACATAATGTACTTTTGCATCAGAATTGACAGTAGCTTTTTTTTTGTTATTTCCTGATTTTTGTCTGTACATTTGACAGCTTTGCTGCCTTGTTTTCTTATGTTATGAATTGCGCAGATTTTGAAACACGTTTGTAGAAAATTTAAAACTAAACCCTTCAAATTTTGTCTTCTCAGTCAGGGCAGAAATGAATCTTTCTATTACTAGTTGCTTAACTTCACAGTGAAGGAATGTCCTTATAAGCTAGCAGTAATAAGAACATTTGGTGCTGAGTTTGGCATTGGTAAATGTGAAACATCACCTTGAGTTGACACACAACTACAAAGTAACTCCTTGCACTGTAACTGAATGACAACCTATTTGTAATGGTCATGCGTTGTGGTATAGGTTTATAGTTTAAAATGTTCTTACTGTGCATACCTTTCTCTCCGTGTCCAGTGATTTCTGTAGACAAAAAGGTTGTCAAATAACCTTACCAATTAAACATTTAATGTCCAGAAGCTAGCTGTTTTTCCTATATGTACACAAGAAATGTGCTTTGTTTTCTAGTGGCCTTTTAAAAGGTTGTTAATGTTAGAACAAAAATGTTTTAGATGGCAGCTGTACAAGAAATTTAGTGCATGTGGTAGTGGTGGTTTTTAGTTATGTATTACTGCTTTTTACTTGCATTGTTGGTGAGTATTTAGCATGCTAAGTTTTCTACCCAACTGGTATTTTTTCAAGCACATCTTAGTGTGACTGTTTATCCAAAAGGGGAAGTGTTTATCCTATTAAAGCTTTCATTTGTGAAAAGTTATCTAATGTGGAAAATTGTACACACACACTAGGTTTTCGTGTCAACCCTTCCTCTTGGCCATTGTTTTTGCAAAAGACCCTAAGTGGTGCCGAGTTAGCAGGGGAACACTGTTTTAGAAGGGTATGTACATGACCTATTCAGATGAAGACCCAAACATTCCTTATTAAAAGGTTTGTGCAGTTTTATTGGTTTAGGTAAATTAGAAGGACTATTCTTTATATTTATGGTATGGAAAAACCTTAAAAAAGCAACTGAAAAGTTAAGGGTGAACAACATGAAGATCCAGGATATTATGAAGGGTGGTTTAATTAAGGGCTTCTGCATTGCATAGTTTTTGAAACCTACTACTGTTGGCTTCAACTAGGTCTTTTCTTCCTTTTTGGGCAGGGAATGGAACTTAGTCTGCACAGTGTGATTGAGGTTTATGCTTATTTCACTCAGGGTAATGTTTTTTTAATCTATAGTGATATGGATTGTCAATGCATAAGTGCATTTGATAAAGAAAACAAACAATGAAGTAACATATCCATTGAAAAATATGTGCCTCTGCACTGAAGGAAGTGGAGGTTTTACCTATAGGATCTGTTATCATGAATAGCAATAAAGAGTTGTGGTATTGTACATTGGGCTGAAAGGAAGGTTTCCCGTAAGCAAACACTTGTATCATTATAGAATAAAGAATAATTTAGTACTATTTGCCAACTAGAGAGGTATATTGCAATGAAATTTTATTAATTAAAAAAAGAAAAATGTTAAATATAAATAGCACAGAAAAATAATAACTAGAACCAATGCTTCTCACCATCAACACTGATATAGTGTATTTTGTTGAATAATAGTCGCTAAAATTAGTGTTTTAGAAAAATATAATTTACATGAAGTGCTAAACATGTAAAGAACTTCTAATTTTGTTACTTCATCCTATCTTGAGTTCTGCTGTAAATGAAAGTTCATCATCTGTTTGTTCAGATTGAGCAAGATGTATTTCTGATATTTTGATAACCAGTTGTACATTTATGACCAGGTATTTACTGTTGTCTTCTACTTACACTGAGACTTGCTTTCCTAGGAACCTCCAACCCCTTCCAGTAATGGCTTTAAAGTGGGCATGAAGCTGGAGGCTGTGGATAGGAAGAATCCCCACCTGATATGTCCTGCTACAATTGGTGCTGTCAACAAGGACCAGGTGTTCATCACCTTTGATGGCTGGAAAGGGGCATTTGACTATTGGTGCCCATACTTCTCCAGAGATATATTTGCAGTAGGATGGTGCTCCCTAAGTGGGCATCCTTTACAGCCTCCAGGACAAAAGGGTACTGAATGTTTTATTCCTTATTCTTTGACTGGAGTTCTGTAAATTGTCATGTAGTTTGATTTGATTGAGACATGTCATGTTATTGGAAATTTAGAATTGATGATTATATGGAATCAAATGTTTTACAGCATATGTGAATAACTTGTGTTGTTGCAGTATGGAAATACAAGTGATGTCTTAAGCCCCAGTCTTTTAAGTAACTTATTTCATTAGTTTCAGTCACGTATAAAGTGAATTAATGGGAAAACATTTGTGTTATGTTAATGAATATAAGATTACATTTTAGTCACAACAAATTTTCTTAAGTCTTGATGGTACATTGAAATGCTTAATCCACTACAATGTCACACCAACTGTTATATGAAGATGTCAACCTCAATTAGCATAACTCTGCTCAGTTATATATATTAAATATGACTTTTGGATATAGGTCTTGCACAGTACCAGCTGAATAAACTGATGAAAAATCCTTCTCTTCTGTTGACCATCCCACCGTCAGTCAATGTAGCCAACCATGGAGGCGGTCGGCCAAGTTCCCAAAGTCAGGTGTCTGAGACAGAACCAAGTCCAGGTGGAGCTGGGTCACAGCTGTCTGCAGAGTACACTCTGGCTGAGCCTGATACTAGTAGTCCAAATAACAGCACATCAGGTAGGCTAAAATAAGATGGTAAAAGGAATTCAGTGAAATAAAAATTTCAAAAAAATGGAACTTGGATAAAAATGATTGTAGAAAGTTAGAAAGGGGAGGTAGAAAAGATGATGAAAATTCTGTAATATTTGGTTAAAGAATCAAAGGACATAATCAAAACTGCAGATTGATATAATACTTGAGACTAAAAGACAAAATATTAGTTTATAATATGCAAAACATTTGGTCATTTCTATTTTTTTAAGGATAAGGAAACGTGCATTCAAGATTTGTTACTTTTGTTGTTTCCAGTCTGCGTTTACGTGAACCAAAGTTGTAAATGTGGTCCCCACCTGAATAGTAAAAAGATTTCTCAGCTTCCTGCCTACTTTGGCCCTGGCTCAATCAAAAGAGTGCTCCGTGAAGCTGTACAAGCAGTAGTTGACTGTGCCAATAACGAGAAAACGGTCTTTAACACAATTCAAGGGGGAAGTGGCAATATGGTTGTTACAGGTAATAAAGACGGAGTTAAGTCAGCTTTCTGGAGGCATTTTATATGTAACATACACTGAAGATGTATTCATATGAACCAAACTTATATAAATTATAAAACTATCAGAACTTTGAATGATACATTTTGAGTATAAAATGTAATTCTGCTTATTATTATTTCAGCAATCTTTAGTGGTAGTACTCACACAAAGAGGCTTCCTGTTATTGAGAAGGCCTCTGCAGTTTGGAGCTACTTAGAGATCCTACTGGAGGATTTGTTTTGTTGTGAAAACTTTTATTCAAGTCATCCTTTAACTGGCTGCCCAAAGTGCAGTATTACCGGTGCTATAAAAGGTAATTAGAAATGTTGAAACAAAGGGATTCCTCATTGTTTTTAAAATAGTGAAGTATTTTTGATTCAGGGATTCATTATTAGAAATATGCAATTGTTTCCATATAATTAAATTGCTTTTATTCTATTTAACATTTTGACACAACAATGTGCAGATGCCATCAATATATAGAGTAGTCAGCATTTGGGAAAAAGTGTCACACCATCCCCAAAATTCTTCTTTAGAGGCTCTTAAGTCACATAACAGTGGCTAGTTTATTTTGACACTGTGGAAGATGATATAATCCCCCCTAAATTATATATTCTATTTTTTCTTTCAAAAAACTTGTTAAATTTAGGCTCATTAATGCTATAGTTAATTTGTTTACATATATAGTTTACATGTAATGAATTGGAATAATGTCAAAACAAAATGCATTGGTCAATAAGCTGTGGTGGTTTCTCTGGTTGAGCAAAATACTAAGACTAAAAATTATTATTTTTACTTTCAGAAGAAGAAATCTCACTGAGCCCCAATTCCTCCAAGCACAGACTGTACTCTGAGTCAATGGAGGGGCACACAATATCTCCTCTGCCTGAGAAGCGAGGCCCTGGACGCCCTGCCAAACACAGAAGATCATCCTCAACTGCAACCCTGGAGCAAAGTAAAAAATAACAGACTTATTAAATTGCATACCTATGATCCTTCTGAATATATACATAACATTTTAAATGTCAAGTTTTATTTCTGACCTAAGCATTTCACTGAAGAGTTAGTCCATATTTTTATAATAAAAAATATCTCATATCTCTCAAATCATAGCTTGACCTATCCCTGCACTTCAATGCAAAGTTTTATACCTATTTTAAATAAATAATTACGTTTTAAATGTTTCCCGTAAAGTTTAGACCGCCATGTCATTTCAGAGGTAGATTTCAACTTTGTTTATTTTAATTTGAGGGGTTTCTTTGTTTTTAGATTCTGAAATAGGGAAATAGACATACAAATTATCACTTTGATGCATTTTATATATTTCACATATTTGATATATTTCAGTGGAAAGCCCAGGTGCTGTGCCTCCAGTAAAAATGCCCCGGTTACAGAGAATGCCCTCTGGGCAACACTCCCTTGCCCAGTCCCCCATGCAGTCATCCAGTGCAGGACTGGAACAGGAGGGGCTGCTCACTGTGGACACTGTGGAAAGACCCCGACTTCTCAGTGCTTATAAGCTACCCATACAGAAAGTTATTAGAAGACCATCTGCTGCTTTTGAAGCAGAAGGTAAGATCGTGTAGAGCTTTGTTCTTGAACATTTTTTATTTATTGGAATCTTATTTTAAAAATTGGTAAATGTTTAGTAAAAGTATTTAACTAAATATAAAAACAACACGGTAAAATTGTGAGACCTTTGGACATTTTTTTCAAAGCTCATGAATAAGTGGTTATATATTTTGTAATAGATCCACAGTTTGAATGACAAATAATATTTATGTTTAGAGAAAAATATACTGTTACAGTGTAACTGTAAATGATTTAAAACAGAAATTATTACTTTGATTTAACAGCAAGCTCCACAACTGACCCTCGGTCACCTCATCCGAATAGTGATCCATCTGACTGGTCAATTGAAGAGGTCATACGGTACATTACTGACTCTGACTCTGCTATGGCACAGCACACTGAACTCTTCAGAAAACATGTAAGTTTACATTCAGTAGATGGTCCTGGAAATAAGTGGCTGGTGGTGGATTGTGTCTTTTGCATTAAATTCTACTTAATTGTTCTTTTTCATTTAATTTTTATGTACAGACGCAGATGTGTCTGTACATATTGCCATCACCTGCGTCTGTCGTCGCCGTCGCCGATCATGTCGCCGTGCACTTCCAGCGTTAACACCATAAGTGGAAGACAGTTTTACTTTTTGGCTTTATATTTACAGAGCTGATGAATATTCATAAAACGCAGGTCAAGTTCGAAAATCAGCATGATCGGGCCATTATTGTAGAATTTATGCTGTTTTTTCACTTTTCAGCATATGTGCAACACTGTTAACACATTTCAAGGAAAACCCATAGGCCTGTTGTCATGAAACTCACAGGAGTAATCAATCTTACTAAAACGCAGGTCAAGTTCGAAAATCAGCATAATCGGACCATTATTTTATAAGTTATGCTGTTTTTTCACATTTCCTCAGATTCAATTCTTAGGCATGTTAACAGTCTC